AGTTTTGTTGACATTTAAAAGGTCACCTTTTTGGGGGTCGGATCTTTAGCTGTCTTAATGCTGACGATGACTCGAAGGCCCAAGGATGGAGGGAGCTTGTGAAAAAGCAGGACAGCATTGTACCAAACCTGACTGACTCCCACTGCCAGGGGACGTGACCGTCACCTACGGAGGCCCCGTGGGGACGCGGGGCAGTCCCACCGGGCACACAGGCGCAGCTGAGCCATGCCACGTTGTTCTGATCCTGAGTTCCACTCGGAGTTTGGAGCTGCTCGATTGCAGACTGAGTGATCGTGTGGTGTGATTAGGGAGATCGTGGCAGGTCCCCCCTGAGGTCCCCGCAAAGGACAGTCACCTCAGATCTCACACCTCGACCACGGGAATGAGCAGGAACCCTTACGGATCAAACCAGCGATGTTCGCAACTCAAATTCCAGTACTTTAATGCTTTATTTTTTTAAATATGGCTAGTTTTTGGACACACTTTGGGTCCAGCCCGCACTTGTCATGGGCATAAACGATCCCACAGCAGAGCCGACTTGGTCTTAGCGCGTGAGCGGATCAAGCATAGTGTTTGTGGAACGTGTCATCCAGGGAGAGGAAGGGACAGAATGAGAAATTAGGACATGGTCCCAGCTGAGTCTTCAGCGCTGGAAGGTAAACAGCCGTTTAACTAATCTCCAGCTTCTTCTGTACAGTGGGGATGGTTTTCCCACCTTTGTGAAACGAAATGAATGGGTAAGGGCCAAACAGTGTCCCTAGAGGCAAGTGGTGTCCCCAGGGGGCAGGAAGGCCACGCCTGGTCCGTGTCTCACGTGTTTATTCAGCTTTTCACCTGTGTGGTGGACAATCTCCCTGCCGAACGTCAACGCAGGCGATGTTTGACTTGAAACACGTGTTCGTTTTTTGCGCTTCTTCGCTTTTCTCGTTCTCACTGGTCCTTGCGAAGTGACCAGGAGTAGGAAGGGCAGCCAGAGCAGGACAAAGGGCAGTCATTCAAAAGCAGCACGAAGACAGGGGTTCTCGCGTTTGCACAGTCTGGGCTTCTGCTCGAGCGGTGCCGTGTGAACGATGCCTGCACGCGGACAAGAACCGGAGAGAATCTGTTCAGCTGTGTCCGGAGAGTTAGACCCCGGGCAGTCTTTTTCCCTTTTAAAACGTCACCTTAAATACGCTGTTGTATTTTTATGATGGATACAAATGTGGAGGAACATTGAACTCTCTCCGAAGCCTGACGTTGGCTCCATGAATAATAATTATGTCACTTCAAGTGAAAACATAAGTACTCTGCAGGCACGTGGTGGTCTCACACTGCGGGGTGGGGGGCAGCGTGAGGTCCAGCTTCGGGGTGGGAAAGGCGGGCTGTGCCGGCGGCCTCAGGGACGGCCGGTGGGACCCTGCCAGGCCTCCTCTCGGTTTGCACAGCCTCCTCTGGCCCCCACAGTGCAGTGTCCACCGTCGTGCGGGCCCCGCCGCGGGCCGAGCTGCGTCTCTGGGGTTCACCCACTTCACAGACGTGCGTTAACACTGAAAAGCCAGCTTCACCGCGGCACAGCTGACGTGCAGTCAAACCCGCCATTCCGAGCGCACAGCCGGCGACGTGCCGAAGGCGTCCTCCGTGTAACCACCGCCGCAGCTCGCCGCGGGTCACTTCCACACCCCGAAGCTTCGCTCAGGCCCCTGGTGGCCAGTTCCCGGCCCCTCTGCCCCAGGCACCCACGTCTCCATCGCATTTTTGTATCACACGCCTCAGATGGCGGGACACGCGTGGGAAACAGGCTTTCTCGGGCACTTTGCACGACTGCTTGTCCCTTACGGACGGAAGTCGGCACATGTAGAGGATGCACGGATTCCAGTGACGTGTCACAGACGGGACACGCCCATGAACAGCACCGAGGTCAAGAAACAGAGCATGGCCAGTCCCCCCAAACCCCAAACTCCCCCCGACCTGGGGAGCCACTGTCCTGCGGACGAGAGTCCCGGAGCTGCTGACGTGGCCGTTACAGACTCTTCCTCTTCGGTTGGAAAAGCTAAGTGACAGTCGGATTCTCGCCTGTATTTTGTGATTTGACCTTTTTTTCTTTTTAATTTTAGTTTATTGACTCATCTGAAGTTCTGTAAAGATTTTGAAGTTGACAATCACATAAAAGATTTTGCTGCAAAACTATCTTTGATACCCAGCCCGCCTCCTGGACCACTCCATTTGGTAATTATCGTATACTTTTCCTTTGCAAACAGCAAAAGTAACATATTGAAGAAGGTTTCAACGTTTTAAATGATTTTTTGGGTTCTAGCTGTGTTTAAATCATGCTTCTCAAGTTCCTTACAGAAGTATATTTACACTATTTCTAAAGGTAAAAAAAAAAAAACTAGAAATGAATTAGAAATTCTTTTCTAAAAATTTAGAAATGAAATTTTGTTCTAAAGTCAAACACGTAGGCTTGAGTGTTGCTGAGTGGCTCGTGGTGAACAGGTACCTTCGGTAGGTTAGTTCGTTACTTGCTGTGCAGGAAACACAGAATCTGCTTAGTTTACAGATTTCCCTTTTATTCGTCTGGAATATTGGGTATTACATTTAATTGCTCCATGTGTTCACCTGTCCATTGTGATCAACGCAAAGTCACTGGTTTCCTACGTGTGTATTGTCGTTATCGACAGCGCCACCGTGTCATCTAATTAGTCGACAAGCATTTCCCAAACTGGGTTTCGTGGAACGCTGGTTCCAAGATGTCATTGGCTGGTGACGACGTGCGGGTTCCAGGGTTAAGGGAAGTTGGAGGGACGCTGACCACATCCTGCCTTTGTCAAGTAAAAGGTCGGACTCTTCAGCTGTGTGACAAAACCTGTTTGAGTCAGCATTTTTCAAACTGACAATAAGGTGCTTCCTTTTTAAAAAAAAAAAAAAAAACCCAGCCACTTATTAAATAACCATCTTGGAATGTATAGTAAATACTGGAGCGGTTTCCCTTCTGGAAGATTATACATAGAAATCTCGGTTCTTTACATTTTGGTTATTATCGAGAGTTGGAAAATTCTTCTCATCAGGAAACGTGTGATTATGAACTTAAAGTGTATATTTGTGATGTTACCCTAAACCTGGCAGTCTGCTAGGGAGGTGCTCTTGCCAGATGCGTCCTGGGCCCAGGGTCAGAGCGGCCCGTCCGCCTCGGCCCCACTTCCCGACACCTCTCTATGGGGGCTTTGCGCGAGGCACTCATCTTCGCTAGGCGGATCACTGGTATTTTTTTTTATCGTGCAGCGAAGCTGTCACATTTTAAGCTCTCGTCCCATAAACTCGGCGAGTATTCGTTGAGGACCTGCTGCCACGAGCGAACAGGATCCCCGAGTTCAGAACGGTGTCAGGGTCGCCGGTCATTTATTCCGCCTTTGAGCGTAGCAGTGCGTACATCGTGCTCACACGGCCTTCCGGGCCGCGAGCGGATGAGCCGTCGGTGCCTCCGTCCCCGCCACCCCCAGTGGGCAGGTTTCCGGGAGGTCGTCACTGGCACCTCTTCACCCCACACTCACCCTACGCCTCATGCCCCCAGCCTCTCCATCCTCGGATCCGACGCTTCTCCTGTCCCCTCTCCCCCGAAGTGCTTTGCCTGCCCGGTCAGGGCACTTCGGGGCTGGGCGGCCACCGTGGGAGGCACGGCCGCTCACGGTGCCGGCCGCTCACGGTGCCGGCCGCTCACGGTGCCGGCTGCTCAGCTCGCCGAGAGCCTGACGGTGGGGTGGGGGGGTCTGTTTCCTCCTCCGTGTCCCCCATGCCCTTTAGCACACAATAGGTGTTCGTGAACGTGGAATTCAGTGTTCTTTAAAAATATCATCTAGAAAAGTAAAATGTCTTAAAAGTTTTTGAATTACATACCTTTGAGGAGCTTTGACTGTTGAAAGCACTAAGCACACACACTATCTGGTGAGTGAAAACAGTGTCTGCTAGCCACGGCCGACAGGTGAGAACCCTTTCTGCTAGCTGTGACAGGTGAGAACTGTGTCTGCTAGCTGTGACAGGTGAGAACTGTGTCTGCTAGCTACGGCCGATTCGAACACGCTTTAGAACTCGTGCTAGTGGGGACGGTGTCTGGGTGGCAGCTTGTCTTTGTCTTTCCAATGAACAGTTTGCTGGCCGATTAAAGCGCTAAGGACGTTTGGCTGAGAAAGGCGCCAAGTGCTCCCTTTACGATGACCCTTTACTGGCGGCCTTGTCTGTCTCCGGCTGTTTTGTTGTTCTGGGACCTGCCAAGGGGGTGGCGTGAGTCTTCAGCAGTGACTTCTCGCTCAGACGCTTCTTGAGCCCAGACAGGGACTCTGGGTGCGTTGTGGCCTCTGCTGGCAGCAGCCCCCTGAGCTGACGACAGGAATTGGCCTTGGCAGGTCTTTAACATGAAGCCACTACAGATCGTGTTCCCCGCGAGAGCGGACCCCGAGAGCCCGGTCATCGACCTGGACCTTCACCTGCCCTTGCTCTGCTTCAGACCTGAGAAGGTGCTGCAGGTACGTGCCCCCCACGCCGTGTCCCGTGCCAGGGGGCTTGAGGGGGCATCACACCCACCGCTGTGCCAGAGATGACTCAAGCGCCAGTGTCTGCCACGGTGGACAGACCCAGAACGACACCACTACTCGGAGTGTTAACTTTTTTGCTTAGAGCTGACATTCACTAGCAGCGGTCCCCAGCCTTGGGCACCAGGGCCCAGGGCTCCTGTGAGCATCTAACGCCTGATGGCCTGAGGCGGAGCTGAGGCTGCGATGCTGGTGCTGGGAGCAGCTTTGCTCCGCCACCCACCTCCTGCTGTGCGGCCCGGTTCCGAACAGGCATGGACCAGTACCTGTCCGCAGCCGGGGGGTGGGGACCCCTGCACTATAGTACGTGCTGTTTGCAAATAGCACCTTTTTTGGGGGGGTTGAAGTGGCTTTTGTTTTGGGAGCTGGAGCAGGGAGACGGGGGGTTCTGTCCTCCCTGGTTTGGTTGGGGGGCGGCGGGTCACGGTGTCTGTAGCTGCTCGCGCCCCGCCGGGGGCGTGTTTGTGTTGATGGCGTGTCGCCCGCAGGTCCTGACGTGCCTCCTCACGGAGCAGAGGCTCGTGTTCTTCTCCTCCAACTGGGCGCTGCTGACGCTGGTCGCCGAGTGCTTCGTGGCCTACCTGCACCCCCTGCGGTGGCAGCACACGCTCGTGCCCATCCTGTCGGAGCAGATGCTCGACTTCGTCATGGCGCCCACGTCCTTCCTCATGGGCTGCCACCTCGACTACTTCGAAGAAGTCAGCAAGGTCAGGTCCCGGCCGCCTGGTCGGGCGTTAGCTCCTCGGGAGCTGGTCGTGAGGACCGATGGGAGGGAAGCTGCCTTGAAAGTGCCCGAAGTGAGGGCTGGGCACACGGGGCCACCGAGCAAGGGCACCAGCGCCTTCGCCGTTAGTGTGTGTGCGCTGGGCGCCACACACACGCACAGGCATGCACGCGTGCACACAGTACACACACGCACAAACGTGCACGCACATTTACATGCACACAGTACGCACACGTACACACAGCAGTATATGCGCATGCGTGCACACACGCACACACAGCACACACAGCAATGCACACGCTCACCTGTGCACACGCACACACGTACAGAAACACAAGTGCACGCGTGCGCACACGCACACACGCACACGCACACACACAGAAACATAAGTGCACGCGTGCACACACATGCACACACACGCACACAGTCCACGCGTGTGCACACATGCACACACGCACGCACACACACACATACACACAGTCCACGCGTGCGCACACCCTGCACTGCCTTGTTTGTCCTCATGCCGCCCCATGCGGACCTCGGGCCGTGTGTCCCGCGTGGCGCCCCGCGTGGCGCCCCGCGTGATGCTCCGCGTGCTCCGCATCACGTCCCCGCCCACGTCCATCCGCAGCAGCTCAGTGAGGACTGGGGGAGTCGCTGGGACCCGGTGGTGGGTGCAGCCTCTGCTGCTCCGCAGCTCTGTGACCTGGACTGGGTTCGCGTTCCTCCCTCCGCCTCGGTGTCCGCATCTGTGAGGTGGGCGCGGTCACATCCCCACGGGCAGGGCTCTGAGCCGAGGACACCCACAGCTCGCTCGGAGCGCCCGGCGGCTCGGCGGGCAGCGGCCGGCTGCCGTCGCTCGTATGTTTCTCCTCCCTCCGTCCCTCCGTCCCTCCGTCCCTCCGTCCCTCCCTCCCTTCCTTCTGCTTCCGCTGTTCTGCGGACCTTCTTTCCGGAACACGCATGAGCCTTCGGCACGTCGCTGCGGTCAGCGGGCTTCGCAGCCTTGCCGAGCTCTCTTCTCGCCGTGTGACAGGCCCGTGACGGGGCGAGCTCTTCCGTGTCCTACCGTGGCAGGGCGAGGAGGGCGCTGGCCTCGCTGTCGTGGTGAGGATCGAGGGGGTCGCTGGGACGCTGGCTGGCGTGCGGTCAGTGCCCGATGAGGATGAGGCGCAGCTGTTTTCCCTGCTGTGCTCGCCGGCGATGGCGGACATTTAGATGGTGGCTCGCGTCGTGGGTTTGTGACACGTGTGATGTTGGCCGCAGGCAGAGTGGGCTTGGCTTTCTACAGTTTTATTCAGGTGGTATAGAGAGAGAGGTGGCTGGCGTGTGCCAGCCGGGCCCTCTGGGGAGGCGCCGGATGTCACCCAGCGCTTGCCAGAGCGAGTGACTCACCGGGGACAAACACTCTTTGAGAAAAGGCCATTCAGACCTTTATGGAAGGAACGGAAAAACGTCACCCAGCCCTCCTTGCAAATGAGGAAAAAAATAGGCTGCCTCTGAAGTTTAAAACTGTGTTTCTTTTTTTAGTCATTTGGAGAAAACAAATGTCTTGCTTCAGACCAGAAAGGACAGGTTTTGTCATGTTTACATGACAGTTGCAGTTAGCAGTCACGCAGGAGTCCCTCGTAATGACTTCCTGTTCTGAGGGCTTCAGGACGAGCAGCAGGTGTTACTCAGGTGGTTTGGGTTGGAGGCTTTTGTCGCTGGTGCTGGGAGCTGGGCAGCCACCCTGCGACTCGCCTGGCCGTGACTGCACACGCTCGGCGCTCAGGCTCAGAGAGGGCAGCGCCAGTCACCAGGCCGCCACTGGACCTGTGCGCTGGCCCTGGGAGGTGCTGTCTGTGCGTTTTTCATGCGAGGCGGGACCCAGCCCGGAGTGGTGAGCGGTCACGCTCCAGGGGCTGTTGAATTGCAGGACTCTAGTGCATGCTTCGTTATTGGCGTATTTTGTCACAGATAAGTCTTTACAAATAATCCATGAAAATATTTCAGAAATTCTAAGTGTGTGTGTGATCGCCGGGCCTCGGGCCCTGCCCACACCCCAGTTCTTGGACGGGCGGCTGAAGAGAGACGTGGGTGTTGCTTGCTGGAGTTGCTCTGGCCGCAGTTCTGGAATGTTCTCTTCAGGCCCCCGGCAGTGTTGGTACCGGGGCAGGTGGAACCCTGGCAGTGTGTACTGGAATCTCGACTCAAAGACACAGGCATTGAGCTCGTTAACGTAACTTGTGGTATTTTCTGCATTTTGGGGTAGAGAGTCTGAAGCTCCGTGTACACGTTAAGATGGGTGATTTAGTTAACGGTGACAGCATCTTAGAGAGTGCGGGGTGTGTTTGTTTTTGGAGGGGCGTGCCAAGTTGAAACTCACATGCGAGCCTTCATGCTCCCCTTACAGGAAGCTGACGGTTTGGTTCTGATAAACATCGATGATGGGACCGTCACCCACTCCCGCGACGGTGACCTGGCTGTCCCCGGCATCCCTCTCCTGGCGGCACAGACGTTTATTCAGAGGTAAAGCCGGACCCAGCACGCGTTCGAGGCCTCTCTGCTCACGTTCTGAGCCTGCCGAGTCGCATAAACTCTCTCCAGGGGTACCTTTTTCAATGCCCCCCAAGTTATCAATGGGTATTGTAAACGTCCTCAAAGCATTAACGCCCCCGCCCGGGCACACCCTCCCCCTGCCGCCTTCTCTGCGGCCAGCGTCACCTGATGCGTTGTGCGCCGTGCTCAGCATCCGTCTGCTCCCTGCAGGGTCCAGAGCCTCCAGCTGCACCACGAGCTGGACCTGGCTCACCTTGGCGCCAGCACCGACCTGAACAATGGGCGGGCCCGCAGGTGGACCTGGCAGCAGAGGTTGAACAGCCAGATACAGCAGCTCACCCTGCAGCTGCTCGTCAGCATCTTCAGGTATTCTAAGCTTTTCCAGTGTTGGCAAGAGGCCCAGCCCGCTCACGGGCCCATGACGGCGGCATCCCCCAAATCCATGGCGGCGAAATGCTTTTCTTACGATCATTATATCCGAGCAGCCCCTCGGGGACTGTGTTCTTCCAACTCCAATGCTGCCAGGGGGTTGGGGGGACTTCTCTAGCTCCATCTCTCCTGCAAAAGACCCCCAGTGGGCGCTGTGCTGGCCGAGGGCTCAGGTCAGCCCGGGGAGGGGCGCAGACGGGCTAGAGCGCCAGGCCGGAGCGTTCGGGACATGCTCGGTCCGACTGTTGGCCCGTTGCTCCTCGTCCTGTAACTGTCACCGTCAGCATCTGCCGTGTGCCGTGGGAAGCGGTCCCTGAGCTCGGACTGGTCTGTCTGTCTGTCTGTCTGTCTCTCTTTCTCTCTCCGCCCCCCCAGCATCTATCTGTCCCCCCCTCCTCTCCCTGCTCCTTGCAATGCTTTCCTGGGCCCGTGGGAGGAGGCAGCTGGAAGGACCCCCCACCTGGGACGGGTTCGGGCCAGAGCTTGCTGACTTGCCGAGATGCTGGGTGATTATTTCAAAACCAACATTTTAATGGCCGAATTTTTTTGATGTGTATATTTACATAAAGTCGTTCGTTAGGAAGAAATGGGATGGTATGTCCCGGGCACGTTGTGTATCTCTTTGCTCAAAGCCATATAATTCGTGAGGTCACAGATACATAGTTTCCTTTTGTTCTTTTAAGACAAACTCTTTCTTGAGCGAGGTTGGATTTTAAAAAATACTGTCTAAGCTTGACGAGTTCATTAAAAAGCAGAAAGTATGATTACAGGTCATAATACTTTATTCCCTGTTGATGAAGGAACTTTTCCCCGAGCTGGGTTAACACGTAGACCCTTCCCGGTCACCAGCCGTGTGGAGCTGTTTTTCTTTATGATTAGGTATTGATTACTGCATCTTCATTTGCGTCAGGAGCCGGGAGGCTTGAAGCGGACGGTGACACTCCCTTGCGTAGTGTCATGCCAGTGGGAGGGAACAGCTCAACCACGAAATAAACCCAAAATGTGTTGTTCTAGGGGTCGGAATCTTTCTGAAGAACGGGGCTTTTCCAAACCTGTATTTCTTGTCATTTTTCTGCTAGTCTAGTAGCAGCATTTTTTTTCACGTATTTGGAAGTATTTCAACACTTAGACTTTCTTCCTTTGTCAGGGAAGTGAAGAACCACTTGAATTACGAGCACAGAGTGTTTAACAGTGAAGAGTTTCTCAAAACGCGGGCCCCGGGGGACCAGCCATTCTACAAACAGGTGAAGGGCGTGCGTGGGCACGTGTGCGTGGGGTGTGTGTGCGTGGGGCGTGTGCGTGTGTGTGCGTGGGCGTGTGGGCGTGCGCGTGCGTGCGTGCGTGAGTGTGCTTGCGCGTGTGGGCGTGCACGCTTATTCTTGCACTTTCCTGTGCTGAAAACTTTTTCCAAAGTCAGTGTATTCAGCCCCTGTTAAGCGTGTTGGCATTTTGAAAGGTGTTTTTAGCCTCTTTCCTTCTGATCCTTCGGCCATGTCTTATTTAACTGGCTTTTTAGAGTATAATTTGCGTAGAACAAAATGCACTCACTGTAGGTACCAAGTGTGATGAGTTCTGACAAATGTGCTCGCCTGGGCGACCCCTTCCGCAGCCTGGACTCAGAACCTTCCCACCACCCAAAGGGACCTGGAGCCCTCCCCCTCGCCGTCACCCCCACTCCAGCCCGGCCCCCTGGCGGGGAGCCCATCCGGTCACCCCGCCCCCACCCCTGGAAACCCTCCCCGTCACCCCCAAACCCACCCCATCCTGGACCCCAGGGGAGCCCTCCCCATCACCCCCCCACCGCCCCCTGGGGGCTGTGTCTCACTGCAGATGAGTCCCCCGTTGGTGCGGTGGGCGGGCCATGCTGCCCCCTCCCCAGCAGCAGGACCCCGCTGCGCACGTGCGGCACCCCGTGATTTCCCGCCCCCTGTTCACGAGCACTAGCGTTGTTTGGGCCTTGTCCCTCCTGAAGCGGGGCGTCTGGGGGCCGCCGCGGCTCGTGGGGAGGCGACAGCAGCCTTTCCCCAGGGTCGTGAGCCCTCCGCCTCCTCACGTGCCCGGCTGGGCGAGGC